TTTTTAAATTGAGAGAAAGGGAGAGAGTAAGCGGGAGGGAGAGGGAGAGAAAACCTGAAGCAGACTCTGCACTGAGCACAAAGCCCGACGCAGGGCTCGATCCCACAACCGCGAGATCATGACCTGAGCAGAAACCAAGAGTCGGATGCCTCACCAACTGAGCCACCCAGGTGCCCCTTAATGATTTCTTTCATTCAAAAATCCAGTTCAATGCTATGGGGCTGTCAAACGATAATTTTTCAAAATACACATGAGAACAAGGGTGCCCAAACAAGCGCTATCCTTTACAGTAAGCTGAATCATTCTACCAAGAAATTTGTCACTGGTCTTCTGAACTACCCTCAAAACCAGTTTACATCATTCTACTTTTTTGACAGTCACAATGCAAATCAGTTTATAATCTCTCTAATTTTTTTCAACCACAACTAGTCTGGACTCCAAAAGAACATCACCAGATTTTCTCTACTTGACTCCAAGTAACCTATAAAATGAAATTCCACCCTCAAATAAAATTTGCCACCCTGAAGATTTTCAAAGGAATGTGCCACAGGCTCTGACCACAATTCCTAAAGATAAGTTCCAACGTAAGATGAGTATGACCCACCAAAAATATATACATGAAAGTTTTAGGGAGAAGATCACTTAGATAATGCCCCATTTTGGTTATTTAAAAATCCACACCCCTGCTTTCCTTCCTAGCCCTAGCATCAGGTATGACAACTACTTAGATGTACTTTTCTGATAAATGTATATCCTATGAATTCAAAACGATGCGTTGTACTTGGGGGAAAGTGGACCACTTTCCCACTGTAGATAAAACAGGCGGGACTCGCCAGTTTCCTGGCTCCTTAATTTTACTTGCCCACTTCCGAGACTGTGAAATATGATCTCTACCCAGCACCTATCCCTTTCCCCTTCAACTCCCCCACTGCTTCCCCACTCCTCAAGAGGATTTTCCCTTCACCTCCTGGCAAGGAGCCCTCTCTTATCCCTCCACCTTCAAGGTGGGCCCTACCAGCCTTGCAGGGCTGCCAAGCTGAGTGATGAAAGCGGAGGAAGGGAGGATGTGATTGTGTTTGCTGTGTTTGTGCTCAGAGAAGTGTTCAAACAAGAAAAGGGAGGATCCCTTCCTGTGTTATTTTGTCTTAAATACCTTCCCAGTTGTCATCTTTGGACACTGACAGACTTGAGCTCTTCTGACAAGCCACAGAAGTGTGGGATTTATGTCCTTCTTTCCTTCACGCTCAGGACTGAACTGCACAAGCTCAATCTCACCGTCTCTACTAGCCACACAGCCCAATCTTATATTTAGAGTTCTCTGCTGTTTCTTTTCCACAACAACAACAAAGCAGAAAGCTTCCTCTTTTCTTAGAAGGCAGCCTCTGGACAAAACTCTACTATGGTCTCCTGTACTGTCTGGTTGGTACTGTCTGTATGTGATTTCCCTTCTAGACTCAGGGCTCCTTGAAAGCTGACACAGCGCCCTGCTCACCTCTGTATCCCCCACACACAGTAGGCACAAAATAAGTGTCTGTTGAATCAAATGATAGTGAATGATAGACTTGAAAGAGACTTCAGAAAGAGAATCAAGGGAACTATTTACAAGTGTGGCAAACAACTGTTACACAGCATTTCCTTAGAGTAAAAATTAGAATAACTTGTGCCATAACAAGAAAGATATTTAAATCATTTGATGGTAACAGATGCCAAAATTACATGGCAGCTTAGGATAATGGCATTTAGTAGATGAGCGACTTTAGATAAAATACTTAGCCTCTTCACCTTTCTAAGTTTTCCCTTCTGTTAAAACAAACAAAACAAAACAAAAAGGACAAGAAAAGGTGAGCAATGGTAATATCTATCTATTCTACCTAATCACAAAGTTGTAGCGAAGCCCAGATGACATAATGTGTAAGATCATTATACAAATATAATGTATTTAGGGCGCCTGGGTGGCTCAGTTGGTTGAGCGACTGCCTTCGGCTCAGGTCATGACCCTGGAGTCCCGGGATCGAGTCCCGCATCAGGCTCCCTGCTCAGCGAGGAACCTGCTTCTCCCTCTGGCCCTCCCCCCTCTCATGTGCTCTCTCGCTGTCTCTCTCTCTCTCTCATTCTCACTCTCTCAAAATAAATAAATAAATCTTTAAAAAAAAAAAAAAACAAATATAATGTATTTATTATATGACAGATTTAAACAAGTCTCATCATTAGTGTTACTTAATATGCATGCACTTGAGTAAAACTCGTGAATAAAGTGACAACAGAGTTTCTTGTCAAACATATAACAACACAATAATAATATATGTGGATTATGAAAAAAATAGCCACCATGGGACTACTTGCAGAAACCTCCTACCTATTCAATTCATCTACAGAAGAGCTCCAGATTACGTGTAACTTCAACTTTAAGTGATTCTCTGCACAGCTGCAGCCTCTTCTTTTTGGTGCAGAAGCAGGAGCTTTCAGGGCCAAGTCCATGGTGACCTGCCTGAAGCACTAGACACAGCCCTGGGCTCTGCAACGCACTCTGCGGCAAACAGCCCACAGAGGCACAAACCTGCATTTCAGCACAGAGGTGGCTGAGCTATGCCAAAGCCTGCAGCCGAAAACACAGACAAGCACAAAGAAATTTCTTTAACAGTACACAGCTCAGACTATCACTATAATTAGGACCAACTACGGCCTGCATGAAAAAAAAAATGAATAAAATCAAGGGTACACCAAAGCCAGCAACCCATGACAAACACATAGTTAAAAGTACATTTTTTTGAAAGGAAAAAAAGTACTCTGTCAACAGAGCAGCAGCTGTAGAGAAAATGTACAATAAACAAACAAACAAGCAAAGATTCATTCAAATTATACTACAGACATCACAAGTAACACCACTCTGGAGATCTGGGGGTTAGTGGGTTGTTTTAACTTCACCTGAATTCCTAAAAATGTGTACCTAATTTCTCCAGTCAAGCATCCTCTGTACTTTATTTTTAAGCAAGAGAAAAAAGACAGATGGCCGAGACGCTGACACTGCAGGCCCAAGATTTTTCAACTGTTATTTCTCCCAGTTGTCCGTTGCTAAAAGAGATGAAATACAGGACAACCTAGCACAAATCTATAAGAAACGAATTCAAACTAAGTATATTCAACCAAAGCAATCCTGCATGTGAAAGCAAACCATACATTTGTCCTCAACGATGCTGAAGGCTTGACATCCAGTTTGTAGGAGTTTCGCACCTTTCTAAAGGAGAGAAAGGTGAGCTAATCAGTGTGAGTCCTAGAAAGAGTTCCTCAGAATCATTTCTACAAACAGAGAAGTAAACAATAATCAGCTGGAAGCCGATATACCAAGAATAAGGAGCTTCCAGGCTTTCCCTCTGTGTAAAAGCAATCAACTCCTATTTTTAATCTCATTCTGACACAAACATCCAGCCAAACCTCTCTCTTGCTGGCTAATCAAATATAGCTGATTTGTTACTATAGAGTAAACTTTTAAAAGTCAGATGTGAATGGAAGTCATTACAGATTTAATGACAGTGTTTTAGTATACGAGAAGAATGAGGTTATCTTGAGAGGCAGGACCCATGGTAATACTCTAAATACGTCACAGAAACCAACTCACCCACCACCGGGGATTCTGGGGATGGGCCAAAAAATAACTTCCCAACTGATTAATTGAAAAATAATATGTTGGTAATTAACTGCAAATGGAAACAGCACCTCCCTATACACTGGGAAAACCTAACAGGCTTATTAAAAATAATTATTTCCTTGTATGCCCAACAGGATTTATAACACTCAAATCTACTTCTGGTTTTTCATTGTAAAGGATTAAGGGGGGGGATGGGGAGAGAATGCCTCCATAAGTAAACAAAAAGTCTGAACTCTCCTGGGAACTTGTCACATTCTTCTCTTCCAATCAACAATATTTAATCCACTTTAAAAATGCTGGCAAAGAGGGCCTTTGGCAAGGAACTCGGTAAAAATATGCAACTCTGGGGACACCGCCACAATACTGACATCAAGCTTGTAGAAAATGCTGCTTTTGTCTCAGAGTCAGCCCCTGATAAAAACAGGAACTTTATGAAGAACTGATCACAACTGCACAAGAAGCCTGATCACATGCTCACAACAGAGCAACGTTTCTCTCATTGTTGTCCAAGGGACTTCTCTAATAACAGAGGCTTGATTTATTCCATTCTTATAATTCTCAAATCCAACCCTCCTTGTACCAATCCATTGTCAAAGAGGATGCCGGCCAGGATTTGCATGTAACCGGTGGCTACCCTCCTCCTCTCTTGAAAGACTCTAAAAGGTGATCAGATGCGAAAATTCACCCCGAATACAGGCACCAGGAAAAAACCCTTATGACAAAGATGATCTGAAAGCAGCACAGTGTGTGTCTCTCTGGGTTAATGCCACTGCTTCTAATCTCCCTAGGACCCTCAATGGCCCACCCTGCTTCTCCCTCACTCCTGTCACTGGGGAGGCATCTTGTACTGTTAAAAAAGGAGGAAGAAAAAATGCTGCAGATTTCCCATGTATCTTTCTCTTTTTCTGAATGGGGGAGGGGAGCTGAAACAGGCGTGGGGCCCTCCTCTCGAAAAGGGTAGAGGAGGACAGGAGAAAGCTGTCAGCCACCCTGCTCGCAGCCTCACCCCTCACCCCTACCGTGCCCAGACGCCCGGGCAGGAGCGCGAGGGCGCAGCTTTGTCTCGGGTTTTGAGGGGCAGGGAGTGCAGAACCTGCCCGGGGCCGGGAAGGGCTTCTCCCCCAAGCAAGCCCCTGCTTAACCCCTTCCCAGAGAACACAATGAACGCCACGGGAAACCCACTTCATGGGGTGCGAGAGCAGGGAAGACGACCCTTCAGAGCACGGGCCAGATTTCCGGCACCCTCCTCCCGTCTCGGCCGCACGGCCAGCAGGGCGCGCGGCGGGGACCTGCTCTCCCTGTCGCCGCGATCCGCAGCGGCGCCCGGGCGCTCGCTCCCCCGCCCGCCTCCTACCCTCCGAGAGCTCCAGCTCCAGCTCCGCCAGCTGCGCCCGCACTTCGGGCGGCAGCGCCGCCACCGCGGCCGGCGCGGGCTCCAGGCCTCGCTCCGCCATCCGGGCTCCGCCAGCCACACTCCGGAAGACAAGAGAGGGGGCCGAAGGAGGGACGGACTGACGCGGGCCCACACCCCGGCTACAGGATCCGGCTCCGGCCGCCGAGCGCCACCGCCGTCGCCGCCGCCGCCGCCATGAGCGAAAGTCACGTGAGCACGGCAGCCCCGCCCCCGGGCCGTGGACGCACCGCCTCCGCGGCCAAGTCGGCCTGAGGACTCGCGAGCTTACGGCGCCCTCTACTGGGCATCTCCTGAGACGACGCGCCCAACCCCGCCACCCCGCGCTCTCCTAAGCGAAATGAGCTCGAGGTGTTGACGGCGTGGACGCACGTAGCGTGTACCTATTACGAGCTCCCGAGAGCAAGGAGTTTTCACGGGAGTCAAGCCTCACTTTTTCCACTTCTCTTAGTGTGTTTGCCTTTGTCTTCTCCCCTCCTCCATTTTCCCAGAATTGACATCTATCCATTTATGAGGACCTGAACTCAGGCCACTTTTTTTTTGACCGATTAATGATTTTTTTTAATTTGTATTATATCACAGACCACTTCTTTCACAGGGGCTTCCTAGTCGCACTTGCCAGGAGCTCTTTGTTTCTATTTCAGTTCTAGCATTTAAGGCAACAGACGGAGAATGTCCTTCCTCCTACCTGGAATGCTACTACTTGCAAGTGGGGAACTTAGTCTTCTTTATCTTTTTATCCTCTTCAATGTCTGATTTAATAGGTGTTCCAAAAATATTAATATTTTAATTCAATATAATGAGGATCCAAACATTTGTGTATTTTTTATTTTATTTATTTGACAGAGAGAGATACAGTGAGAGAAGGAACACAAGCAGGGGGAGTGGGAGAGGGAGAAGTAGGCTTCCCACAGAGCGAGGAGCCCAACGCGGGGCTCGATCCTCGGACCGTGGAAACATGACCTGAGCCGAAGGCAGACGCGTAACGACTGAGCCACCCAGGCGCCCCAACATTTGTGTATTTTTACCAGGAACTACTGGGGCAGAAGCTTTAAATAGTTGTTCATATTCTTTTTTTTTTTTTTAATGCCAAAGCTCCCCTTCACAATTTGAGGGATTTCAGTGCTTTCACTCCCTTTCTGTGCTGATCCAAAATTGGTCCTTTAAGAGAAAAGGCTTCAACATCTATTCACTAGTAGGAGTTTCTAGACAGTAGTATACCAGTTAGGGGCTGAAAGGAAAACTTTTTTTTTTTTTAAGATTTTATCTATTCATTTTGACAGAGAGAGACACAGCGAGAGAGGGAACACAAGCAGGGGGAGTGGGAGAGGGAGAAGCAGGCTTCCAGCCAGCAGGGAGCCCGACCTGAGCCCAAGGCAGATACTCAACGACTGAGCCACCCAGGCGCCCCCAGGAAAATTATTTTTTAGTTGAGAAAAGAATTTCAGCTTGAAAAAAAGAAATGTGACATCATGGTTGATTGAGGGATAGACTGAAATTTTCTTTTAACTGCAACAATGTAAGGAGAATCTTGGGAATATATGTATGTACGTCCTCCAGTTTACATGAGGACTGTTGCAAGTTTGTTGGTTTGGGTTTTTTTTAAGGCTGCAAATTTGTTGACATTCCTCCCCTCAAAAAGTGAGGTCCATGACCCCTCACCTGAATCTGGATGGGCTTCTCATTGCTTTGACCAATAAAACATGGCACAAGTGATACTGTGTAACTTCGGAGGTTAGGTCCTAGAAGGCCATTCAGCTTCCCTGGTTCTCGGAATTCTCCTTCTCCAGAGAACCCCTCAGAGAATCCTCCCTCCCAGGGCACTCTGAGAATCCAGCAGCCACACCAGGAGCTGACCACATGGAAGACCATGTGAGGTGCTCTGCCCAAGCGCCCCAGCTCAGCCCAGCCTTTTAGTCATCCAAGCCCAGGAAGCCTCCAGATGACTCCAGTCCCCAGACGTTTGAGTCTTCCCAGCTGAGGTCCCAAACGATGTGGAGCAAAGACAGCCCATCCTTGTGCCCTGTCCAAATTCCTGTGAACGTAATAAAATGGCTATCCTTTTGTGCCTCTAATCTTGGGGTGGTCTGTTACACAACAGTAGACTCCCATAAGAAGGATCTTAGCAGGTGTTCTTGTTTACCCTCCCAGTAGCCCTGACTCCCTTTTTTCCTTGTCACTAGACCACACCAACCTTGTTGAGGCTGATATGCCAAATATACACTTTTCTGACCTCCTTGGCATGTATGTGACCCATTGGGGGAACTACTGTAGAGGGAATATCTGTGGAGGATTTTCCTTTCTGATGAGAGAGATGCACGAGGAGAAAATGCCCCTTCATTTCCTTCCTGTCTTTGGATGTTGTCCAGGTTAGGGCATCAGTAGTCATCCTGCAACCACAGGGGAAAGCTAAGAGAAGTGCAGAGATGTCACCGAGAACTTGACTGAATTGTTCTGCTAAAATAAATTCTGGAACCACCTATACTTGGGCTTGTCCTTCTTATATGAGAAAATAGGTTTAAACCTATTTTAGTTGAATATTCTGCTATTTACTGCCCACAGTTTCCCATCTGATGCTCAGTTTATTACCAAAAAATGGAGTATTACAAGTGAGCAAAAATGTGAAATGACTGAGTGCAGTTGCAAAATGTCTAGTAAACTATTATGACACAGATCACATGTAGACTGGGGCCGTTTTGCTAGGGAAATAATTGGAAAAATTTGAGATTTAGGGAGTAAGTGGACTACTGGGTATGGCTTTCAGTAAATTCACACGAGAGATAAATAGTCTGGGAGACGTCTCAACGGAGGACAGGTGGGAAAGTTTGGCTTTACTAAGAAGCTCTTCTGGCTGCAATCCAAATTGACAGGGATGACAGGGTGGAGCTTTGTTGACTTGGGGAAGCCAAGGTCTCCCAGGTTAAAGAGAGGTAAACAGAAGCAAGAGATTTAACAGTGATAAAATTGAAAAGATTGAGGCTCCAGATCTCTGAAGGTTCTCCAAGACCTTTCATTAAACAGTCTTTGTCAGATGAAGGAGGTCAATTTAGTAATGAATACAATAAGCCTAGCAGGAAAGATTACATTAAGGGTGGTATTCCTCCCCCTGAGGTCATTAATTTCAAACTGTCTCAAGGAACAGACCTTTAAACTAAAGGAGAAGGGGGTATTTGCAGAGTATAGAGATAAGAGCCATGAGGCTGAAATTCTCAGGCTTAATGACAGATCAGTGCAGTCTGATAGAAAACACAATGTGAGCCACCTGTGTCGTGTTAAATTCTACTACATTAAAAAGTAAAAAGAAACAGCACATCTCAATCCAGACTAGCTATATTTCGAGTCTTCTATAATGACACGTGACTAGTGGCTACCTTGTTGCTCAGCAAAAGTCTAGGTCTTTACCTGCTTTATTAGCATATGGAATTACAGGATTAAACAGTTCCAGAGCCCCGCTAAGTTTTTGCAGCATATGTATTGCCAAAGATATTCCAAACTTGGTTTTAGCTGCAGCTAATTATTCAAGACTAAAAGCAGTCCTTAAACTTCCAACTCCCACCAATAGGAAAATGGCTGCCAAAGTTCTGCCCAGAAGGGCATATACCCAATGCCCATATTAGGTATGCCCGTGAAGGACAATGGATAACTAAGGCACTTCCTGAGATCAGAACCAGAGGCTGCCAGACTAGCTAACACATTCATTCCATTTGCCAGGGTCAGGCATTCTCACTAGTCCTGTCAGGCAGCATGGTAGATTATTTGCAAAAAGGGCTGCACTGTATTCGCTATCCTTAGGTAAATCCCTCCAATACAATGGGTTTGATCATATGACTTGCTTTAGCTAATGAGACAATAGTAAGCTTGACCTACAGACTTGGAAAGTGCTTGTGCATTGGGCTTAACCCCTCTCTTTCTGCTTTTTTTTTTTTTTAAGATTTTATTTATTTTTGAGAGACAGAGAGAGAGAGAGAGGCAGAGGGAGAAGCAGGCTTCCCACAGAGCAGGGAGCCCGATGTGGGACTCGATCCCAGGACCTGGGATCATGACCTGAGCCGAAGGCAGATGCCCAACCATCTGAGCCACCCAGGCGCCCTCTCTTTCTGCTTTTGAGACCACTGCCCTGTGAATGAGCAGGAGCTGGGCTGCTAGATGAGAGACATGGCCCAGCTACCCTTACTGCTTCTAGGCAAAACCCAACCTGCCACAAGGTATATGAGTGAGACCAAAGACTGCCAGTTGATTGCACATCCATGACTGAGCCTTGCTGAGCCCAGCTCAAATGGCCAATGCACAGAGAAAAAAATGGTTGCCATTTTAAGCTACTAAGTTTTGTTGGTTTGTTTATAGGAACAGGTATGATATGTGCTCAGGAACAGTGTCTGCTGCATATTTCCTTTTCTGAGTGGAGTTACTATTGTACTTAATTCCTTGTCTGGCATTGTTTGTTGCAATAGTTCTCAAACTTTAGCATACATCAGAATCACAGGGATGGCTTATAAAACACCAGTTGTGACATCCAACCCAGAATTTCTGATTTTGTAGGTTTGGGATGTGGCCCAATGACTGACATTTCTACCACCTTCTATGATGACACTGCTGCTGGTGTGAGCACCACACTTGGAGAACCAGTGGTCTCTTGGATGTGTTGGAGACAGTTAGGACTCCAGTTGCTGGTCCATGAGGAGTCATCTCCAGAAATGAAGGAGACTACATAGTCCCAGAGGTCTGGACTTGCAGCTGGAAGAGGTAGCTGCATGACATTGGGATTGTCTGCCTTAGAGAAAGGGAATGAAATTTCATGTGAGCGAATTATATACATTTTTGGTCTAATGTGTCATCCAAAGACACCGTTTCCTTATTGATTATCTGCCTGGATGAGATATCCATTAACGTAAGTGAGATATTCAAGTCCCCTACTATTACTGTATTATCATCAGTTTCTCTCTTTATGTCAAGTAATATTTGCTCTATGTACTTAGGTGCTCCAATGTTGGGTGCATATTTACAATTGTTCTATTCTTTTGTTAGATTGAACTATACCCATTT